CATTTGTGCTGACATTTCAACTGTTATTAGTTAATTATTTATTTAATTCGATACACAATTCCCGAGAACACTTCGAAGAATACTGAAAAAAAAATCAACAAAGAAAAATAAGAAGCACTGACTTTGTCCGAGACTCATACAAGTAAGTAGTATTTATAAAAATATATTTGTTAGATTATATAATAAATTATATTAATAGGGGGGATAACTTTATTTTTTTTCGTACGTCATCTACATATCGAAACTTATTAACAGTGAGTTTTTGATACCAAAATTTCCTTTTAAAACATATTGTTATATCTGTATAAGAGTTAATGATAGGGATTACTATTAGTTTCTATAGATATTTTGGTGTCAGAAAATCACGCTTTATCAAACGGCTGAATTATTAATAAAAAAAGTATTATTTGAGTTTTAAATTGAATTTAAAAACGTAACGTACTTTTTTCGTAATACATATTATGTTATCGATATTGAAACTAATTCTCTGATATATAAAGTACTAGCAGTCGTCCGCGCGAATTAAAAAAAAAACATAATTAGTAATCCATGTGTTCAGACTATGTTCTATATGTACGATAAATTTCATCGCGATCCGTTCAACCGCTCTAGAGTTACTTTTAAACATCCATTCATCGAAACATTCGCATAATATTTAGTATTTATAATATTAGTAAGATATACCAATGCAATAATTGCAGTCTGTCACTTGTCAGTATCGATAGAGGCTGTCAGGTATCCTGACTTGTCGATGATTCCAATCCGCAGTGGAGTCGGGGAGGACAAATTGTGCTGTCCCGGGGGAAATCTGCGGTTATTAGCTGTCAATCATTGCCGCTAGGTGGCGCCCCATCTAATAGTTGTAATACCAAAATCTTCACGCTGTGATTTTACGTTTGTGATTTTATTTTTACGAAAAAAATTGGTGTTTATATAGCGTTTATTTAAGTTTTTTTTGTACAGAATCTATTCATTCATTTGCGAGTTCGTATGTTTAATATTTTAAATCTATTTTTAATGGTAAAATTGGTAAAATAATACTTTTTAATCTTAGTTTATTTATACATTTTTAATATGATAATAAGTTTTTATATTATTCACAATTATCCAAATATTTCTAGAGCACTAGCTGTCGCCCGGAACCGGCCGTGCAAAATTAAGAAAAAAAACATAATTAGTATCCTATGAGTTCTTCGAAACTATGTTCTAAACGTATGCCAAATTTCATCCAAATCTGTTGAGCCGTTCTGTAGATACCTTCAAACAAACAACTCCATCCATCCATCCATCCAAATATTCGTTATAATATTAATATGATTTAATAAAAACATTTGCAACGAAACATTTTAACTGCGAATGTTTTTTTTATTCAAAATTTTAAAAAGTCATAGCTTTTTAACAAAGAGGCAAAAGGTGCGTTCGGAGTTAAGATATGGCATGAGTAGATTTCCGTTCGGATTACTGCTATGGAAATTGAGTCGAAATGTAATTTCCTGAACGCAACGCCAAAGTTTTCATTTCTTTGTTACTCCTTAACAATATATTACGTACTCGATTGCAATTTATACGATTAATACATATGTGTAGGAAGAATTTAAACCGCACTCAGAGTCTCTATAAAGAAGGGCCGGTTAGTGTAGATTTTAAATCTCAACATAAAAATAACCATTTAATGATTTTTAGTGCACTAATACTTTAATTTAGTTTTGTGAAGTCAACCAACCCGCACTTGGCCAGCGTGGTTGACTATGGCCTAATCACCCTTAACTTAGGGTAGGCTCCGAGCCCCTCGGTGGGGACGTATAGTGAGCTGATGATGATGATGATGAATACTTTAATTATCATTTCATTTATAGCTAGATCTTACCTGCGACTTCGTCCGCGTGGAATTAAATATATTGTATCGATCCAGTAGTTTTTAAGCATATTTGTTACATACAAAATACAAATTTGTTAATAATTTTAAGTTTTTGTGAACCAAAGACTTCACAAGAATATTATCAAAAAATATCTATATTAAGGCTCTCATATAGTGACTAATAGAAGACTCTGAGTATGGTAGATAAAGTATGCGTACTAAGCAAACGTTTTAAACGCCAATAAATCTTAATTCCCACCTCAATAACTCACACAATACGGGGGAACCTTAATCAACTTATTTAGACATCTTAGATTTATCTACTATTGTTAGAAACTATGGGATAACGAAAAAAAACGGAAAGTAGAGTCCGAAAAATCTTCGGTCCCGGAGGCCTAATTTAGTCCTCTTTCCCTTCCCACCCTTTTTCTTATAAGGAAAGGATGGGAAGTGGAAGTGGACTTTCCAGAAAAGAGGATGCATGGGAAGCGAAATGTTTTTTTCTGTGCATCCTCTCCTTCATCGATTAAAGGTAGGCAACGCATATGCAATTGCGTATGTCTATGGGCAACGGTCACTTCGCTATTTTAGCGATTTCAGGTGTCCGCTCGCTCGTTTGCCACCTTATGATATTAAAAAAAAGCTTTTCACCTCGTTTGGTTAGTTAAATGTTAAACTTTTACCGTGAGTTACTGAGACGAATATCTCTTATTCCAATATCTTCGATAACAATATGATTATAACAAAGATTTTGGAGTCAGAAACCCACGGTAAATTAATTTAATGAATGAAGAACTACGAGTATATATATACATAACTCCACATTGTCCTTTGAAACAATGATAATACTAAAACACTTTATTATAGAACTGGGTTAGCCTAATGTTGTAAAATATTCCTAAAATAAATTTAGAAACCCACCAACTATACCACTGGGACAGCGTGATTGACTATAGCCCAGTCACCCCTAACTTAGGGTAGGCACCGAGCCCCTCAGTGAGGACGTATAGTGAGCTGATGATATTTAAAAAGAAAACTTTACTAAATTTTACTTTTTAACATATAATACCTAAATACTAAGCAAAAATGTTATATAAATTAATAAACTTATCAACAGAATTTATTACCAGCGTAAACAATCAAATCTCGATCTATTCATATTCACTTGATCCTTGATAACCCTAACGATGTAACATCCCTAATGACGTGTAACACAATACTGTTATGTTGGTACACAGAATTGTAACATAACCACGTGAATATTAATTAGTGAATGTCACATGCTATAAAGTTATATTGATGTGTGATCTTAATTGTGTAAATATAATTAGTGGGGAATATAATAATCATTATTTTATGATTCTTAAAAGATCTTGAGAGATTAATTATTATTAAATGATTAAACTTAATTTATAATTTTCATTTTCCTACTAGCAAGGCCCGCGACATAATTCGTGTGAATTTGGGTGGCATTTTAAATATTTAGGCGACGTATTTTTCTAATACTTATATTACAGTCAACATTGGTAGAACCCGCTTTAACATCTTCGCACGAATTGACCCTGCTCGCCCGATGAAATACCACGACCACACAGAAGACAGACGGGAAGTGTAAGCAATTCCGCGTTTCGTCTGATGAGTGTGCGTCGCAGAGGCCTAATTTAGTCCTCTTTCCCTTCCCACCCTTTTTCTTATAAGGAATGGATGGTAAGTGGAATTGGACTTTCCGGATGAGAGGATGCATGGAAAGGGAAAATATTTTCTCTTTGTGCTTCTTCTTTCCTCCGCCGATTAAAGGTAGGCAACGCATATGCAATTGCGTATGTCCATGGGCAACGGTCACTTCGCTATTTCAGCGATTTCAGGTGGCCGCTCGCTCGTTTGCCACCTTATGATATTAAAAAAAAAACATAGATGTCAGTCGCGGCTCCTTCCTCGCGTAATTAAAAAAATATAATAAGCCTACATGTTCGTCTATGTTCTACATCTGTGCCAAATTTCAAGAAAATCCGTTGAGCAGTTCCGGAGATACCTCCAAACAAACATCCATTCATCTAAACATTCGCATTTATAATATTAGTAAAATGTAACAAGTGTAAACTCTAAACATATTTGTTAAAATAACATATAACATAACAGAATTAGTTGTAAGCCCGCAGTGTAGAATGTTACTTAATAGTTTAATTACAAACAGGCAGTTTAATAACAGACAGGTCATCAGTCATTGTTACTCTGTGACAATTAACCACGTATACTAGCAAACGTAAGTCACGCCATCTGTAATATGCTTTATGACTTAATGTCTCCTTAATTGGATGAATTAAACGGCACTTACAATTCGGTCATATGATTTTAAAACACTAATCTTGTGAGTAGTAGTTATAACAAAATGGCGTAGGTTAATAAAAGAATTCATTGAAAATATTTCTTAGCTTCCTCTATTAAAACTACGCTAAGGATCCAACTTAGTGTGGAAATAAGTCTACAGTGTTTGAAAAACAAGCGACGACGTCATTTAAACTTAAACAGTTTGCAGTAGTTTAATTAAAATAAGACACAGAAACGCCCAACAACCCTCAGCACCCTTCTCCTTTTACTCCGCGTGATTTATACCCACCCTTGTTGAGTTGGCTCCACATATGAGAAGGTTCTTACGTCAAATGACACCTACGATTATTGTCAAAGAACTGGCTACTGACACACCTTGCAGCCTTTATTGTAAACAAGTAAGAGAGGAGAATGTTCTTTGTTCATTTTCATTACGTAAAAAAATGGAGTCTTATGACCCATGAATATTCTAGTGTAAACTGAATATTAGTTAATTACACAAAAATGTAATCGTAATCGGTACAGACACAAAAAGGTAAGAGAGAAACTAAAATATTACTTTCGCCTCCTTCCATAAATAAAAGATTTATTTTTATTTAAAGATATAGCTTCGAACCAATGGGGTTCTATTGCAACCAATTTCTCGTATTCATTCTTTAAAAAAAATCGAAAAAATTTTATAATATTTTATTTTACTCTTTATCATTATAAAATTTATTGGACAATTTTCCCATAAAAATAATTATAATCTGTTATGTACAACTGTCACGCAAGTTTTTTATTAAAACAAAAAATGTCACATTAACAATTGACATTGACATTTTGAAAAGGGTTTTTTGTAAGTTTTATAAAGATTTATTTTATAATTCAGTTTACATGTACAGAAGTGCAGCTGTAAATGTTGCGTTGGTGTTCGTCTTGTGCGTCACCGTAAGCTACAGTCAGATGTTACCAAACGTCGGCACCGTACTCTATTCCAACGACGATAAAACAAAAAACAAATGGACAAGAGATGACATAGCTCTGCTCCAAGCTAGAAGGTATTCCCAACATCTTATCCCACCTCTTGACACCAGCGATGAGATCAATGAAGAATACATCAAACGCTTGCTAACATACTTTAGAGATATTTACAAAACTATCAAAAATGTTAGCCCAGATCCACAAATAAATGACATCATAACCACTGCAGTATCCGATACTTTAGGAGGTTACTTAAAACAATGGCTTCTACCTATCACTAAATTCGCATTCTACAGCGGTACGGTCAGCAAAAAGAGTGCAATGAGAATGTTCAGTTTCTACGATGATGTTAGAAAATACTTAGATACTGACGGCAGCAGTTGGAGCGCACCCAATGTCAGAATCCTCAAGTCAGTCGCCATCAACATCGCCCCACCTCCGAAGTTCACCTCATCGAGCACCGGCACCTCTCCCTGTGACAATCTAGTTTATTACGAAAAAGATGATAAAGGTTTAAAAATACCCATGCCTAGTGTTACTTGGAGTAATAACTCTTCAATAATGTTCCTGCCGCTTAAAAACCAATCGTTCATGTTTTTAAATTCACCGGAATCAGGGACGGTACTATTTCAATATTATGATACAGCAAAGAGTTGCTTAAGATCCATTAGAATGGCCGACGAAGAAGAATTTAATAAACGCTTTCAAACATGGCTTATGAACACAGTGTTACCGCATTTGAATGACGAGAACTTGTACTTCGGCTTAGACAGTGTACTTTGCTTGGTTAACAAGACGAAGGAATTAAGTAAAATGACAGATTTCTATGAAAAACCTGCTAAACCTAAGTCTGTACATTTTCATTTTGCATCAAAGAAAGTGGTGATAGTAACAATTATTCTGTTCCTTGAAATATGCTGGTGTATTCCAGCTATGATTTATATAAAATGTTCTAAGAAGAAGGAAAGAAAGCGAGGTGGAAGTAGTTGTCTGCACGTGTGTATATCACGTAAGGAAAAATCAATGACTACGGAGAGTTTAATTGAAGAAAACAGCATGCAGTTTAACAGACCGAGCAACGAGGGGCCAGGAGGGAAACTATTCCCGAAACTTCTACGTTATTCAGATCTAGGTATCCAGCACGATCCTTCGCAAAAGACACCTTGTATTAGTAGAACTGCATACCCTGAACTAGAAGAAAAACCGTGCTCTACTAAATCTCATGTTAAAACTGATTGCAACACTAACAAGAAAGAAAGTGAGTACTGCTTTGATTGTACTTCCAATCCGACTATTTATACGTCAACTAGTAAAGCATTAAGGCCATCAATTTACAGCACAACAAAGAAACTCGTCGCTGCTAAAACTGTTACTTTATTTAAAAATAGTAAAACGAACAATTATTCTGACATAGCAGAAAAAGATACCGATGATAATAGAATCTTGTGTCCACCAAGAACTAATTATAAAGAAACTCCAGTTAAATTTAAAGAACCTGTAAAATATAATACATTCATTCGCCCGAAAAAAAGTAAAAATATTACCATTTTAGATAAAAAGGAAAGCAATAAAACTGTAAAAAATGATTACGGTAATAGGAGCATGAAAGGGCACGCGTACAACGATAGAGCTTTTGATAGAGGACAGTCTAAGTCGAAAAAGATTACATTAACTCAAAAAGGTGCTAAAAATTATACTGGAAAACCATACGGTGGTATTAAACTTGAACGCCAAGAACCAGAAATCATGGATGTTAGTGAAATAACTGATAAAAACAAACCTGAAATAACATTAAATCAAATGTCTTGTAACAGAACATCAGAATTATTCGTTGTTGGAACAAGCATAGATATAAAAGAAGCACCAGATATAAATAATCCGAACAGTGGAAATGTCGCGGATAAACTTAAAAAAGATATAATGAAAGAAAATCTTCTTAATATGATAGAATCTGAAGGCAAACTAACAATTTAATATTAGTAAATTTATTTATAAAAATTATTATTTTAATTACTTAATAAAATTAATTAAAAATCACTTGTTTATTTCGTAAGTATATAAGACAAATATATTTAACAACAGAAGGACAACAGATTAGATTCACAATAATAAATATCTTGTTGGTTAGCTCATCGTGTAGAAGCCCTCTCCATACTTGTATCACATTTAGAGGCACGTACTAATCACCCTGACGAATTTATTGGCCGCGATCCGGGTGAATTACTGTGGTGGAGGGCGGTTGAGTTATTGCATATTTCGCCCTGCTCAGGTGGTCGGGAACCCTCTAATCTGTCATTACGCCAGTCCATTCCCACTTAGTAAATTGAATGCTCGGACTTGCTTGTTATTTCGTTCTAGGTTAAAAATTTCGGTGGTTGATTTCTACAAGAAATCTCAATCCACAAATTGAGCCTATTCGTTTTGTTTTTAATTTTATAACGCGACAAATAAAATAATAACATGAAGATATATAGATTTATAATCTATTTATGTATTTTTTTTTCTAAGATTATAACCGTGGGTTTCTGAGAATAAAATCGCAATTTAACATATATTCTTATCTCTGTTTTTTTTTTCAAAAACAATAACGGGGAGCGATTAGTTTTATACAGAAATTTTGGTCTCAAAAACCAATACCAGAAGACCAATACATTTTACATAGGACTTACTATACCAAAGTCTATCTACATATTTAAAAGAAAATCGTGTTAGTTACACTATTTATAACTCAAGAACGGCTTTACCGATATGCCTGAAAATTGGTGAGGAAAAAGCTTAGACCCAGAAAACGGATATAGGATACTATTTATTCATTTTCTTTCGAATTTATGCCTTGAAGAGCTTTTTATTTAACTCACTAATATTATAAATGCGAATGTTTAGATGGATGTGATGTGGATGGGTGTTTGAAGATATCTCTAGAACGGCTGAACGGATCTCGATTAAATTTGGCATACGTATAGAATATACTCTGGAAGAACACATAGGCTACACTAATTAAGTTTTTTGGATATCTAGTTTTTAAGAAAATAAGAATTAAAAGAAAGCTTTAATTATATCGAAGTTATATTCCAGCCTTCAATTGCTTGTTATATGCTTAGACTTTTAAGATTTACTCTCACTTATATCCAGAGTTAAACTTCATTATTCCATCCCAATTCTTTGAATAGAAATATAACGAATAACTAATTCCGGAATATTACGCACAAATTACTATCAGAAATTAAATAACAGATGCTAATAATCACTTTGAATGATACGGAATTGGTAGCTATCAATTAACTAGAGGCAGGGACAATTTGTGCCTAAATCTGGTGTCGATCGAGGATTATCCCGGACAATTGCTCGTAATCCCACAACATTGGCTACCTTCACTCGGACAGATGTATTTATTACTAACTGCTCACCCCATACCATTAATCTTAAGTAACTAACGCAATTTTATTTAATTTAGTTTACGAATTATCTTGAAAACAAGTAGCCAACAATCGTTTTGACAATATCACACATGTATAATATAAGGTCGGTAGAACATCCTCTAGTACTTAATTTTGTCTATGTCTAGATTAATTATATGATATACTATGGCAAAATGAAACAGTACATAAAGGAAGAATAAACTCAGAAAAATAATTAAATGTCAATTAAAAAAGTAAGACCGACTGCAAGCACTATCTTTCGATTAAAAAAATCAAAATCGATACAGCAGGAATGAAACTACGCGGTAACACACAAAAAACATACAGTCGAATGATAACCTCATCCTTTTCGAAATCGGCTAAAAATGTATGAAAAATTTATGAAGTAAAGTCGCAAGTAAATAAACTAAACAACTGGGAATAAGTATAGTTAATTAACCCACAGTACTTTCCCTAACATTCAGTCCAATTCACCGCAAAATCCTGATAAATCAGTGAAATTAAATAAACATAAACCTTAAACGCTCCCGGGTCATCTCTGATTTATTTGCGGGTCCATTTGTACCGAGATTACAACGTCCGTGTTAAATCCCCTTAATAAATATATTTACATTTTTAGAACATAAGTACTACATATGACCCATTTAACAATACTACGATCACGTTTTAGATTAGCTGTTTACTAATTGGTTTCCAATTTAATAATAAAAAAGTATAGGTAAGCGCCAATAGCCTTATGGTTAAGGATTTCCGATCAAGTGGTCGAGTTTTCGAATCCCGCCACACGACTATTGTCGTAAACCATATCCTAGAACAAGCATAGAGCTTAGTTGGAATACAAGAAATTAAAAACTTAAATTATTCAAACTTTCTTGAGACATTATAATAAACTTATATAAAAAAACCGGGCCGCGTCCGCGAAATAATATCAGTCCCACTCATCGTGATGACGCCCCCCCCCCGATGGGCTAGAAACTAGTCGGTGCCGACACCGGACGAATATACGTTACGACGAATATACGGACGAATATACGAGTGTTTAGCTTTTTTTATACAAGTTAATTAAAAACATAGTACAAAAAAAAGGAACTATAGATAGATGCGTAAACAATTTAATAATACTAATAATACAAAATAATGTATGATAATCCAACTTATTACAGTTTCAACAAAGAACTAGAAAGAAAAATATTCAGTAAGCAAATAATTTGAATTAGTAACTCTATCTTAACATTTTAAATTAACCCGTTGACACAGAACACGAAAGCAAGCGGGGAACGTCCCAATAAATTAAACAATATCTCCCCTGTTTACAAGGAAACTCAAGATCTCTCGCTGCTATGACTTTGTCAAAGTAAACGCGTTCCAAAATGCACCACAAATCTGAAAGTTCCTTGTTACAATTGAATGCGACAAAGTTGTAAGTGTAACCAAGCAAATAAGTCTAACAAATCGAGGAAGATAGGTGTGTACGTAATTAAAGGACGGTAACAAGGGCCCAAGGGAATCTTCTGATATCGTTGTCAGGACCAACCCCTCGCCGAAACTGAGGTTAAAAACAAGCCCAAAGAAATTTATATTCATCAAAATTACCTTATCAATGGTGAAAGATTAAAGGAGTTACGCTTTTGACCTTGAAATCTTCGCAGAAATTATTATTCTCTGTTTTAAATTAACTTTATTAATCGTTGGACAAACGTAATTACTGTCAAATTCGTGTATGGAATTACTCTATTATCTATGACTATTCAGACGTATCTACCGATTGCTTTCTTATATCAAAATCTCTTTATAAAACATATCGTCATCCCTTTCATTATCTTTGACAAAACAGAGATAACACTGTTTTAATCGGGGATTTTAGTTTCAGAAACCCACTGCTAGAAAGTTCATATAGCTATTAAAATACGCTAAATATATTTAAGGTTACTTAATACAATATAATTGATAACTTACATTCTTAAGTGTACAATTTTACCGCACCATTGATCTTAGTGAAATCATAGCAATCTATTTGCAAAGACTCTGTTGTCACCTAAATAAATAGAAATATTTAAGATACGACGTCCAATTTAGAAAGACCTACAACAAACTAGCTGTAGCCGCGACTTCGTCCGCGTAAAATACTGTTAGAGCTGCGTGCGGTACTGGACATTGCAACATTATTTTATTTTTAAAAATAAAAGAAATCTAAAATAAACGTAGCCTAAGTTACTCCTTATTACATTGGCTATCTGCCAATAAAATTGCTGTCAAAATCAGTCCAACCGTTTCAGAGATTAGCCGGAACAAACAGACAGACAAAAATTGTAAAAATATTTATTTTGGTTTATGTAGCATATATATAAAAAACGGTTATATCAATATTACAAACAGACACTCCAATTTTATTTATATGTATAGATTTGTTAAGACAGATGAGAGGGTAGGGGTTTTATTATAATTGTCAGGGAAAATTACACGTTAGGGGAAGTTAAGCAAATTAATCACTGGTTCCAATTTACCGGAAAACAATGCCGTAGTGACGTAGTCGTCAGCCCTTATTGCTGTTCGTAGGTAATGTCACTTAGTTAGCAGTAAACGATTAACCGAGAGTTTCTAAGACGAAAATCTCCATTTAAAACATATCGTCCTCTCTATCTTTCATCATTCTTAATAAAGACGACGATGACGATATGTTTTAAACGGAGATTTTTGTCTCAGAAACTCACGGTAACCTGGGTTCAATTACGTTTATATACAACTAACTAAACTCAAAGTTTACGCTTTAATATTTAACATTTAATATTACCATAAAAAAACTTGAATATTTACATACTTTTTGTTGGTTCTTCGGAATAAATTGAATTTATTCATTGAATATCGACCGGAAGGACCTATCGTAACTAAAACAAGAATTTAAGACCTATAGCCTAACCTAAAAATTATATACATCCCAAAACTTTAAATACTAACATAGATATAACACATCACTAACTAGATATGGCTGTAAACCTAAAAATAAAGGATTTTTATCTTATTTCTAGTCCGCGCAGTATTAAATAAAAACATGATCAGTATTCTGTGTTCTTCCAGGCTATGTTCTATATGTATGTCAAATTTCATCTAGATCCATTAAGCCATTCTGGAGATACCTTCATCCAAACATTTGCATTTATAATATTAGTATGCTACAATTTTGGTCGCTATTCCAGAAAGTTACATTTAGTCCATCGACTTCTCTTTATAAATTAAAATGGTATTATTATTAAAGGCAAGATTAATTTCTTTCAATAGTGTTGCGTAATAAGACATCCTGTAACAAACAGTTGTTAGCGTCAACTGCTTACATCCGGCAAGATGTCGCACGCCACGAGATAAATAAAACAAACGATTAATTTGTATTTCCTTCATTTAAAACGTACCAAGTGGTTTTACTAACAATCTTACTTCTGTTAGGAAGAAAATCCGACATTGTGCACTGGCGCAACACTGACCGTAAGGATTTTAGTAATAAAATGTCGACGTTTGGGTCCCCTCACTCATCATTCTGTCACTTGACTTGGTAATGACAGC